TGTGACCCTGTCTCAAAGCCAAAACAAAACAAAACCAAACATAAAATAAATATCTGTATTCATGTTTTATAATATCCTCAGTGGGTTTGTGCCTTTTTGGTACAGTTGTCAAGCAGCTCAAGAAAGTGGTGGGCTGTATCTGCTTAATGTAACTGGCCACTCTTGACTCTGGTTCCCAGGAAGACCTTCAACCTGGCCCTAGTCAAAAAGGCTGCAAGCTGGCCCCCAAGAACTCACACAGCTTTTCCCAGTTCAAATGGCCCCAGGATAGCATGCCCACCGGCTTCCAGGAATCACTGTGGTTACTGTGCCCGGGTGCCCGAGCCTCACAGTGTTGTGCATGGGGAAAAGCCTCTGTTGGGTGCTGACCTACAGGCCAAGGATGGGCCAGTTTAGGTAAATGGGAATGAGGAAGGAACACTCGGCCCCAGAAAACTTCCCTTAAAGTTCAGATGACCACAGGAAGCTCCCTGTGCCTGTCACCTGCGTCTCAGTAGGTCACTGCAGGCACCTGGTCTCGCTCCCTCCAGTCTGGCAGAGCTTATTACATCACCTAAGACAATGAAGGAAAAAGTGACCCCTTCAGAGGAAGGCCCTGAGCACCTAGGGTGCTTTCTGCCCCCAGAACCCAGAGTGAATACCACGAAAGCCAGTTGTCTGGTTGGTGGTAACAGCACGGTGCAGGTTGACAGTCCCAACATCCCATTGTTATGCTGGTGCTCAGCAGATGGTGAAGAGCCTCCAGGCATGCCCCACAGCAGTCCCTGCTGCCTGCTTCCTGGTTGGGGTAGGACACACCCCTGTGACTTCCTTTCCTGCTATGTCTCTGCCCATCCTGCCCCAAACACACATGTAGGTAAGACTGGGTCTCAGACCGCAAAGTCAAGAGAGAGGAGGAAGTTCTCGGTAACATGCAAGGCAAGCCTTACTGCCATGATTTGGAAAGTTTCACCAGTCTCCGCTTTGAGGAGACTTGATCTGTCCCTGTGATTTGGTCACAATTGCCTTTGGACTGAGACACCACCAAAGGACAATGGATGACCTGCACCCTCAGGAGCGGTCACCCAGGGTGCCTGTCTGGGCGAGTCTCATTCTCATTGCTACCTGGGCTTTTTTATTTGTTTGTTTGGGAGACGGGATCTCATTCTGTTGCCCATGCTGGAGCCATGACCCAATCATGGCTCATCACATCCTGGAACTCCTGGGCTTAAGTGATCCTCCTGCCTCAGCCTCCTTAGTAGCTGGGACTTGAGCCAATTCTCCCAGCTAGATTTTTTCAGTTTTAATTTTTTGTAGAGATGGGGTCTCACTATGTTGCCCAAGCTGGTCTCAAACTCCTGGCCTCAAGCAATCTTCTCACCTTGGCCTCCCAGAGCACTGGGATTACAGGCATGAGCCATTATACCTGGACACTTTCTGCTTTTTTATTATTTTATTTTTTATTTTTATTTTTTCGAGACAGAGTCTCCCTCTGTCACCCAGGCTGGAGTGCAGTGGCACAATCTCGGTTCACTGCAACCTCTACCTCTTGGGTTCAAGCAATTCTCCTGCCTCAGCCTCCCGAGTAGCTAGGATTATAAGCATGCACCATCATACCCAGCTAATTTTTGTATTTTTGGTAGAGACGGGGTTTCACCATGTGTTGTGGGAAGTCAGGGACCCCTAACGGAGGGACTGGCTGAAGCCACAGCAGAAGAACATACATTGTGAAGATTTCCTGGACATTTATTAGTTCCGTAAATTAATACTTTTATAATTTCTTATGCCTGTCTTTACTGCAATCTCTGAACATAAATTGTGAAGATTTCATGGACACTTATCACCTCCCCTTGTGATTTCCTGTGCCTGTCTTTACTTTAATCTCTTAATCCCGTAATCTTTGTAAACTGAGGAGGATGTATGTCATCTCAGGATCCTGTGATGATTACGTTAACTGCACAAATTGTAGAGCATGTGTGTTTGAACAATTTGAAATCTGGACACCTTGAAAAAAGAACAGGAAAACAGTGATGTTCAGGGAACAAGGGAGTTAACTTTAAATTCTGACTGCTTGTGAGCCAGGTGGAAGAGAGCCATATTTCTCTTCTTTCAAAAGCAAATAGGAGAAATAATCGCTGAATTCTTTTTCTCAGCAAGGAACATCCCTGAGAAAGAAAATGCGTCTCTGAGGGGAGGCCTCTAAAATGGCCACTTTGGGGATGACTGTCTTTTACAGTTGTAGACAAAGGGATGAAATAAGCCCCCGTCGCCATTAATGCCCCTGTAATCCCAGCTACTCAGGAGGCCAAGGCAGGAGAATCACCTGAACCTGGGAGGCAGAGGTTGCATTGAGCCGAGATCGTGCCACCGCACTCCAGCCTGGGTGAGAGAGCGAGATCCTGTCTCAAAAAAAAAAAAAAAAAGAAAAAAAGAAAAAAGAGAAGAAAGGCCAGGTGCAATGGCTAAGGCCTGTAATCCCAGCATTTTGGGAGGCCGAGGCAGGTGGATCACGAGGTCAGGAGTTCAAGACCAGCCTCACCAACATGGTGAATCCCCATCTCTACTAAAAATATTTAAAAAATTAGCCGGGCATGGGGGCAACCACCTGTAATCACAGCTACTCAGGAGGCTGAGGCAGGAGAATGGCTTGAACATGGGAAGCCGAGGTTGTAGTGAGCCGAGATCGCACCACTGCATTCCAGCCTGGGTGACAGAGCAAGACTCCGTCTCAAAAAAAAAAAAAAAAAAAGCACCTGAACCTTCTCCTAGGCCCATCTGTGCACTTCTTTGTAAAATCCAGTTGTAGCAAAATAACCCTTCTACGTCAGTTTAGCTAGAAACCCTCATCCTCTGTATCTGATAAACCTCAGCATCTGATCAGGTTCCTCAACCTCCACCATCCTCATTGTGATGTCTGGTCTAGAATCCTATTAGGTTGGTTTAGTCAGAATCCCCCTTACCCTCAATGTTTTCTCTTACTAATTTTCCATCCACTGACCCCTACCCTGCTCCTTGACTAGGACTTCCCGCTTGCTCATGCTGTATTCAGTGTTGAGCCCCATCTTTCTCCCTCAGTGCAAGCCCCTGTTTTGCAGCGTTCCCTCTGCATATTGCAATGGTTCTGAATAAAGTCTGCCTTACTGTCTTTTTTTTTTTTTTTTTTTTTTTGAGACAGAGTCAGTCTTGCTCTGTCCCACAGGCCGGAGTGCAGTGGTGAGATCTTGACTCACTGCAACCTCTGCCTGCCAGGTTCAAGCAATTCTCATGCCTCAGCTTCCTGAGTAGCTGGGATTACAGGTGCCCATCACCATGCCCAGCTAATTTTGTATTTTTAGTAGAGACAGGGTTTCACCATGTTGGCCAGGCTGGTCTTGAACTCCTGAGCTCAAGTGATCCGCCCGCCTCGGCCTCCCAAAGTGCTGGGACTACAGGCATGATCCACTGTGTCTGGCCTGCCTTACTGTCTATAACGAGTGTCATTGAACAAGTGTTTCTTTAGTAATGCTTCCCCAGTTTTCTTCCATTATATATTGGACCACTCCAATTGTCACTGTCTGGCGGCATGTCTGTCTCTCACCCCAATTTATATGTTCTGAGGGGGTTGGGTTGAATTTGAAGTAGTCACTGCTAGGTCTCCAGGGTTAGGTAGCACAGCCAAGGCCCTTGGTAGGCAGAACTAGACTTCTGATGTGAATACATGAATGTGGGCAGGCTGTTCTTGAGCAACGGGTTCCTCCTCTCTCTCCCATGGCCCCCATGCCATGGCAGGGTCCCAGAGTTGGTCTTGAGTTCTGGTCGAGTGGGCTGCTGGAGCTACCACTTCCTTTCCTTCAAGCTGCCGACCCAGGCTGGCAACACTTGTGTGATACTGTGAAATATATATTGGTCTAGGTCCCATTTTGTGGCCCAGAGCTCCTAAAACCCTTGGGATCTCTGGCGTGATAAGAGTGTCTTTTTTAAAAAAAATTTTATTTATTATTATTATTATTTTGGATGGAGTCTCACTGTGTTGCCCAGGCTGGAGTGCAGTGGTGCGATCTCAGCTCTCTGCAACCTCCACCTCCCAGGTTTAAGTGATTCTCCTGCCTCAGCCTCCTAAGTAGCTGGGATTATAGGCGTGTGCCATCACACCCGGCTAATTTTTAGTAGAGACGGGGTTTTGCCATGTTGGCCAGGCTGGTCTCAAACTCCTGGCTTCAAGCGATCTTCCTGCCTCAGCCACTCAAAGTGCTGGAATTACAGGCCTGAGCTACTGCACCTGGCCAGCTGGAACAAATTAATCAGGCTTGAGGAGGGGGGTCATGGGAACACCCGAATTATAACTTGTCAGATTTATAGCTTGTCAGTCACAAGTCTAGGTAACGACTTACCACTTGTGGCTGATATCCAAAGTTAGGGGGGAGTCTTATGGGATTGAGCCTTCAACCTGTGGGATCTGATGCCATCTCCATGTAGACAGTGTCAGAATTGAATTAAATTACAGGACACCCAATTGGTATCTGCTGGAGAATCTGGTTGGTTGATAGGTGGGGAAAGTACCCCTGCTCCCGGCTCTAATATTTGGTGTTAAAAGTGTTATGCTGAGGCCTGGTATGATGGTTTACACCTGTAACCCCAGCACTTTGGAAAGCTAAGGTGAGTGGATCACCTGAGGTCAGGAGTTTGAGACCAGCCTGGCCAACATGGTAAAACCCCGTCTCTACTAAAAATACAAAATTAGCTGGGCATGATGGATGGTGTGCACCTGTAATCCCAGCTACTCAGGAGGCTGAGGCAGAAGAATCGCTTAAACCTGGGGGGCAGAGGTTGCAGTGAGCTGAGATCACGGCACTGCACTCCAGCCTGGACAGAGCAAGACTCTGTCAAAAAAAAAAAAAAAAAAAAAGCAGTGTTACGTTGAGGGGCATGTAAGAATAGGAAGAATACTTTGCATTTTGTTTTTCTAATCTTAGATAGCTTGGCACTCCAGACATTGAGGAGCAGGTGTTCCGTTCAGCCCAAGTAGATGCTTAGAGCCAAGGTAAATTGCACTGCGGTGTGTATTTGGTGGTTTGTCCAAGAGCTGGGAAGCAGTTTACTATCTAAGTAAGTATAATAGGTAGGTGTACAAGATGGTGCCTAAGATTCCCACAGTGATGCTCGTGATGGCCCAGTAGAAGGCTTGTTTGGAGGTCTTGGCTGCCAGCTCATAGTCACTGGATTTATTGTACTTCTTTGTCTGAGTTTTAGGAGAGAGGGAACAGGGAAAGATGAGTATAAAAGAGTTATTGCATGGCTGGGTATGGTGGCTCACGCCTGTAATCCCAGCACTTTGGGAAGCTGAGGTGGGCAGATCACCTGAGGTCAGGTGTTCAAGACCAGCCTGGCCAACATGGTGAAACCCAGCTCCACCAAAAATATAAAAATTAGCCAGGCGTGGTGGTGGGCGCCTATAATCCCAGCTACTCAGGAAGCTGAGGCAGGAGAATCGTTTGAACCCGCAAGGTAGAGGTTGCAGTGAGCTGAGCTCGTACCACTGCACTCCAGCCTAGGTGACAGAGTGAGATTCTGTCTCAAAAAAAAAAAAAACAAAAAAACAAAAAAACAGAGTTATTGGGTGAGGGTGGGCTGTGGAACTGTAAGGACTCAGGGTGGAGGTCTGAACCCACAGAAGGTGCTGGTGTTGCTCAGGCTCCTAGTTCAGAAGGGAGAACAGGCCGGGCGCGGTGGTTCATGCCTGTAATCCCAGCACTTTGGGAGGCTGAGACGGTCGGATCACAAGGTCAGAAGATCGAGGCCATCCTGGCTAACATGGCGAAACCCCGTCTCTACTAAAAATACAAAAAATTAGCCGGGCGCAGTGGCGGGCGCCTGTAGTCCCAGCTACCCGGGAGGCTGAGGCAGGAGAATGGTGTAAACCCGGGAGGCGGAGCTTGCAGTGAGTGGAGATTGCGCCACTGCACTCCAGCCTGGGTGACAGAGCGAGACTCCATCTCAGAAAAAAAAAAAAAAAAAAAAGAAGTGAGAACAAGGAAGAAGTTGGGTCAGGGGCAGGGGTGAGATGGAGAGGGAGGGTGAGGATTGGCATGGTGCAGGTGCCCACCAGGCAAGAAAAGATCACGGCTGGGATGGCGAAGGGAAGGCAACAGAAGAGGCTCAGGATGGACAGGCAGAGATAGTCGCTGGACTCATCCTCATCAGACATCAGTGTAAACACCTGGGGGGCAGAGAGTTGGATATGTCTCACTGTGGCTTCTGAACTCTAACAATCCTTTCTCACTCTCTCCCCACTTACCCTAACTCATCTCTCCTTGGCAGCTATACGATCTTCATTGACCCCATTTAAAATTTTCATTGACTTTCTCTAACCCCCACCATGTCTCCTCTAACCTCTCTCTATCCCTTTTATTTTTTGAGACAAGGTCTTGCTCTGTCACCCAGGCTGAAGTACACTGGCATGATCATAATTCACTGCAGCCTCGAACTCCTGGGCTCAAGCAATCCTCCTGCCTCAGCCTCCCGATAGCTGGTAGTACCATAGGTACAAACCACCACACCCAGCTGATTTTTGATTGTGTTTTTTTTTTTTTTTGTAGAGATGGAATCTCATTATGTTGCCCAGGCTTGTCTTCAACTCCTGGCCTTAAGTGATCCTTCTGCCTCAATATTTCAAAGTGTTAGGATTATAGGTGTGAACCACCATGCCTGGCCTCTGTATCGCTCTTATCTATTTATTTATTTATTGAGACAGAGTTTCACTCTGTTGCCCAGGCTGGAGTAAAATGGTATGATCTCAGCTCACTGCAACCTCTGCCTCCTGGGTTCAAGCAATTCTCATGCCTCAGCCTCCTGAGTAGTTGGGATTACAGGCATGTGCCACTATGCCCGGCTAATTTTTGTATTTTTAGTAGAGATGGGATTTCACCACATTGGCCAGGCTGGTCTTGAACTCCTAACCTCAGGTGATCCACCTGCCTCGGCCTCCCAAAGTGCTGGGATTACAGGCATGAGCCACCACACCCGGCCCATAGCCCCTCTTGTAACCTGTTAAATGTATACGTTTAGCCACCCTGTCATCATATCTCCACAGGAGCTCCAGGTACAATTGGCAGCTGGGAATGTGCCTGACAAATGTACACATCTCAGATAATTCAGTAAATGTCTCAATAGCCCTGAGAGACATGCACCAAAAAAATCAAAGCTATGTCTGACCCCACATTATCACCAGGTCAGTGGTTGGCATCCTGTTGCAGGTGAGGACTGCTCTCACCTGGACAGAAGCTCCTTACAACTTTGGCCCTAGTTGCAATGATAGACATACTTCTCTGCTGTGGATTTTTCTGCTGTTTCAGTTTCTGTATGGGAATGCAAGACAGACTTTCCCAGAGACTTTCCAGACCTTACACCATATTAGTCCAACTAACTACTCATAAATATTTCCAACTCCAAGTGGATCAGTTCCATTCTGTTGATCAATCACAATGCCCTCTTTCAGCAGGAAGTAGCCAGCATGAATGTGGCATTGAAATCCCATAGAAATGGAATGGAATTTGACAGTGGGAAACTATAATTGAGTACCCCCCCCTTTTTTTTTTTTTTTTTGAGGCAAAGTCTCGCTGTGTTGCCCAGGCTGGAGTGCAGTGATGCAATCTCAGCTGCAACCTCCGCCTTGTGGGTTCAAGCGATTCTCCTGCCTCAGCCTCCCAAGTAGCTGGGACTACAGGTACCCGCCACCACGCCCAGCTACTTTTTGTATTTTTAGTAGAGACGGGGTTTCACTGTGTTGGCCAGGCTGGTCTTGAACTCCCGACATTGTGATCCGCCTGCCTCGGCCTCCCAAAGTGCTGGGATTACAGGGTTTGAGCCACTGCGCCTGGCCAGAGTACCCCATTTTTAAAGAAAAAAAATGATTTTTTTTTTCCTTTTTCTTTTCCCCCCATCTCCTACTTAGCTCTTTAGGAATGCAATTGTAACCTCCCTACATGGCAAGCTTATCTAATTATATGTTTACTTAGAAGTTCCAGGGACTGAACCTTGAAACAAATCAGGCACCCCCAGAATTCTCTCCCATCAGATTGCCTTGAGACAATGGTCAATTTCTCTGCTCACGGTGGTGACAGCTAGAGCACCTGATAGATAAGACATCAAAGCATGTCACATAGACCCCACACCTCCTTGCCCCCCACCTTTATGTCATTCACATCAAGCCCCCCTTTAAAAGTCCCTGCTTTCTGTCCTGAAAGCTGAAGCAATACCCCTAAGGCAGGAACCTGTACCTCTTCCCCTCAGCTGAGTTGTGGAATAAAGTCACCTTCTTTATACCAGAACTTGCTCTTGTTAATTGGACTCTCCAAGAGTGGAGTGACTGGACCTGTGTTTGGGTATAAAACCTTCATTATAAATTCACCGTTCCCTTATAAAACTCTCACCCTATAAAACTTCTTTGTCTTCTGTGTGTGTGTGTGTGTGTGTGTGTGTGTGTGTGTTTAGAGACCGGGTCTTGCTCTCCCAGGCTGTAGGAGTGCAGAGGCACTATCATAGCTCACTGCAGCCTCAAACTCCTGGGCTCAAGTGATCCTCCTGCCTCAGCTTCCTGAGTGGCTGGGATTACCGGTGCACACCACCATGCCCGGCTAATTAAAAAAATTTTTGTTTTTTGCTGGGTGCGGTGGCTCACGCCTGTAATCCCAATACTTTGGGAGGCCGACATGGGCGGATTACCTGAGGTCAGGAGTTTGAGGCCATCTTGGCCAACATAGTGAAACCCTGTCTCTACTAAAAATACAAAAATTAGCCGGGCGTGGTGGCACACACCTGTAATCCCAGCTACTCGGGGGGCTGAGGCAGAACTCAGGAGGTGGAGGTTGAAATGAGCCGAGATCCTGCCATTGTACTACAGCCTGGGTGACACAGTGAGACTCCGTCTCAAAAAAAACCAACATTTTTTTTTTTTCTTCTGGTAGAGACGGGGTTTTGCTATGTTGCCCATGCTGGTCTTGAATTCCTCGGCTCAAGTGATCCTCCCACCTCTGCCCCCCAAAGTAAAACTTCTATTAGCTTTCTCACTGTTCCTTTTATAATATCCTTTACTTCATCCCTATGAATCCTGCTGTAAACCTTTCCGGTTCGCCCATGAACTCCCTGCTCCTTTAGCTCCTCTAAGACCTTATTTGACCACCTATTCACTCCTCTTGCTGGGACTACAGGCGCCCGCCACCACGCCCGGCTAATTTTTTTTTTTTTTTTTTTTTTTTTTTTTTTTTTTTTTGAGACGGAGTCTCACGCTGTTGCCCAGGCTGGAGTGCAGTGGCGCGATCTCGGCTCACTGCAAGCTCCGCCTCCTGGGTTCACGCCATTCTCCTGCCTCAGCCTCCTGAGTAGCTAGGACTACAGGCGCCCGCCACCGCGCCCGGCTAATTTTTTGTATTTTTAGTAGAGACGGGGTTTCACTGTGGTCTCGATCTCCTGACCTTGTGATCCGCCCGCCTCGGCCTCCCAAAGTGCTGGGATTACAGGCTTGAGCCACCGCGCCCGGCCTAATTTTTGTATTTTTAGTAGAGACGGGGTTTCACTGTCTCTACTTCTCTGTCCCCTTACAAAGTCCTGCCCTGTCTCCCTCGAACACCTCTCAACTTCTGAAACCAGCTTCCTGACCTTTTGAACTCCTTCTCCATCCACGTACAGCAACCTTCCTGTTCTAAACCCTTGCCCCTCTAACATATGTCTCTGTCCACTTGTATCACCCCTGAGGTTCCTTTATGATACCCTTTCTGCTCTCATCATTTCCCCTCTACTCTCTCTAACACTCCTCCTCCTACTCCTACCCTCCTCGAACATTCCCAGGAGGGCACCTGGATCTGGCACTACCGGTGCTACATGGAAGCTCTTCCTTGATCACCAACCACAGGGGATTACCATGGCGGCCAGGCAGGCCCCACCTCCTAGCCCTTCTCTCTGCTTCTATTGGCCAATTGGAGGTGGTATGTCATAGGGTGGGAACCAATACTTGGCTTCTGATTGGTATGATGGAGTGACGGCTCCTCCTACTCACTCAAGTCATTGGCCAATCGAGGAATCCCTGGTTCCACCTTCAAAACAGACCCATAAATAAGCTTCATTTCCTTGATCATCTTTGTTTAAAGATTCCTTCTGAGCATCTTGAGAGAAAAACACTACTCGGGGCAAGAGTGATGTGGGCCTCCAAGTCTTGTGTTTCAGGAAAAACACAGTGCATTTTCTCTGCTCTCATACCACAACAGTCAACACAGAAGAGTTCTTTGATCAAATGTGTGGGTTCCCCCCCTTTTCCCCCATCCCCTCAATCCCCTCCAACACCAAGCAAGCAATCATTTGTTTCCTTCCTTCCTTTCCTTTCCTTTATTTTTCCCTCCCTTCCCTTCCCTTCCCTTCCCTTCCTTTCCCTTCCTTTCCCTTCCCTTCTTTTCTTTCTTTTCCTTCTTTCCTTTCTTTTCTTTCTTCTTGCTCTGTCATCCAGGCTGGAGTGCAGTGGTGTGATCTTGGCTCACTGCAACCTCCGCCTCCTGGGTTCAAGTGATTCTCCTGCCTCAGCCACCTGAGTAGCTGGGACTACAGGCATGCGCCACCATGCCCGGCTAATGTTTTGTATTTTTAGTAGAGACGGAGTTTCACCATGTTTTCCAGGCTGGTCTCAAACTCCTGGGCTCAAGTGATCTACCCACCTCGGCTTCTCAGAGTGCTGGTATTACAGGCATGAGCCATTTAACCTGGCAAATTTTTTTTTTTTTTTTTTTTTTTTTTTGAGATGGAGTCTCCCTTTGTCACCATGCTGGAGTGCAGTGGTGCGATCTCGGCTCACTACAACCTCCGACTCCCTGGTTCAAGTGATTCTCCTGCCTCAGCCCCCCGAGTAGCTGGGATTACAGGCATGCGCCACCATGCCCAGCTAATTTTTGTATTTTCAGTAGAGACAGAGTTTCACCACGTTGGCCAGGATGGTCTCCTGACCTCGTGATCCGCCCGCCTTGGCCTCCCAAAGTACTGGGATTACAGGCGTGAGGCACCGCGCCCGGCTCTGGCTATTTTTTTTTAAGTGCATTACGAAAGTATTTTATAACTTGTGTGTTTAGATCATGTGCCTTAAATGTGATTATTGGTATGTTTTGCTTTAGGTCTACTATTATTTGTTTTGTATTTCCCCTTTTCTGTGTTTTGTTCATTGTTTTCCCGTTTCCTGCTTTCTTTTGGATTATTTGAATATTGTTTTAATACTCCATTTTAATTTATTCATTGTGATTTTCACTATATATCTTTGTAAGTTTTAAGTGATTGCTCTAGGGATTATGGTAAACACATTGAAACATTTTGTAGTCTACCTAGATTGAATATTTTGCAACTTCAAGTGGAATATGGAAACCTTCCACCATATTGGTCCCTTCACTGTCTCCCATTTATGTGTTGGCTTTCACATGCATTATGAAGACATGCATTGAAAATACATCCATCCAGGGCGGTGGCTCACACCTGTAATCCCAGCACTTTGAGAGGCTGAAGTAGGTGGTCAGGAGTTCAAGACCAGCCTGGCCAACATGGTGAAACCCCATCTCTACTAAAAATACAAAAATTAGCTGGGCATGGTGGTGGGCGCCTGTAATCCCAGCTACTAGGGAGACTGAGGCAAGAGAATCGCTTGAACCCAGGAGGCAGAAGTTGCAGTGAGCCCAGATCACACCATTGCACTCTAGCCTGGGTGACAGAGTGAGACTCTATCTCCAAAAAAAAAAAAAAAAAAAAAAAGGCCGGGCACAGTGGCTCATGCCTATAATCCCAGCACTTTGGGAGGCTGAGGCGGGCGGATCACGATGTCAGGAGATCAAGACCATCCTGGCTAACATGGTGAAACTCCATCTCTACTAAAAATACAAAAAATTAGCTGGGCATGGTGGCAGGTGTCTGTAGTCCCAGTTACTGGGAGGCTGAGGCAGGAGAATGGGGTGAACCCAGGAGGCGGAGCTGGCAGTGAACCAAGACCACGCCACTGCACTCCAGCCTGGGTGACAGAGTGAGACTCCATTTCAAAAAAAAAAAAAATTCCCCCCCAAAGTGCTGGGATTACAGGTGTCAGCCACTGCGCCCATCAGTCATTCCTTTTAATGGCAAACACCGCAATTATTTTTGCATCAGCTACACGCACACACACACATACACACACACACACACATATATCTCATGTCACCTGCAGATATAGTTTTATTTCTTCCTTCCCAATCTACATGCCTTTTTTTTTCTTTTTTGAGACAGAGTCTCACTCTATCCCTCAGGCTGGAGTGCAATGTGGAGTGATCATAGCTCACTGCAGTCTCAAAGTCCTGGGCTCAGCCCCCTGAGTAGGTAGGACTACAAGCATGTGCCACCATGCTTGGCTAATTTTTAAATATTTTTTGTAAAGATGGGGTCATGCTGTGTTGCCCAGGTTGGTCTTGACCTCCTGGTTTCAAGTGATCCTCCTGCCTCCCAAAGTGTTAGGATTACAGCCATAAGCCACTGCGCCAGGCCCTGTTTGCCTTTTTTTCTTGCAGTGACTAGAACTTCCAGCACTGTGTCAAATAGGAGTGTCAAGAGCAGACATCCTTTCCTTCTTGTTGATCTCATAGGGAAGTATTCCGTCCTTCATCATTAGGTATGATATATATTTGGTGTATTTAAATCTATTATAGTTATTATTATTATTTGAGATGGAGTTTTGCTCTTGTTGTCCAGGCTAGAGTGCAATGGCACCATCTTGGCTCACTGCAACCTCCGCCTCCCGGGCTCTAAGCGATTCTCCTGCCTCAGCCTCCCGAGTAGCTGGGATTACAGGTGACTGTCACCTCGCCCGGCTAGTTTTTGTATTTTCAGTAGAGACAAGGTTTCACCATGTTGGCCAGGCTAGTCTCGAACACCTGACCTCAATTGATCCACCCGCCTCAGCCTCCCAAAGTGCTGGGATTACAGGAGTGAGCCACTGCACCTGGCCGTTATTAATTTTTTTTTTTTTTTTGAGACGGAGTCTCGCTCTGTCACGCAGGCTGGAGTGCAGTGGCCGGATCTCAGCTCACTGCAAGCTCCGCCTCCTGGGTTTACACCATTCTCCTGCCTCAGCCTCCCGAGTAGCTGGGACTACAGGCGCCCGCCACCTCACCCGGCTAGTTTTTCTTTTTGTATTTTTAGTAGAGACGGGGTTTCACCGTGTTAGCCAGGATGGTCTCGATCTCCTGACCTCGTGATCCGCCCGTCTCGGCCTCCCAAAGTGCTGGGATTACAGGCTTGAGCCACCGTGCCCGGCCTATTAATATTTTTGATGTTCAAGTTGTACCACTCTGGGCCAGTGGGCGCTCCTTCAAGTCAGCTTCTATGTCGAAAATGAAAATTATTTGTTAAAAGAAAGGTAAGTTATTAAAAAGTGATTCCAGCAGGTAAAAAGATTGAATTGCTACTAACGGTCGATGGGAGGCAGTGTTGTCCACCCAGTGCTTAAGAACATGGCTTTTGGTGGCAGATTTCCTGGTTCCCAATCCTGGCCCCTCAGTGGATTCACTGTAAGACCTGCACTGTGTCTTTCCAGCTCCCTGTGCTTTATCCTCAGTCTGTAAGATTGCAGGCTATATGGTTAGTGTGGAGATCAAAAGAATCAATACTCCGAAGGTGCTCATAACAGTGCCTTGCACTTGACTCCCAGAGTTCCTGCTTTCACCATCATTATGAAGACAAAGTACTCAAAATCTACTACATGAAAAAGATTACAGGCCCTGGAGATTTTGCAGGCATGTTCATTCCAACTTATTTTTTTTTTTTTGGAGATGGAGTTTCGCTCTTGTTACCCAGGCTGCAGTGCAATGGCGTGATCTTGGCTTACTGCAACCTCCACTTCCCAGGTTCAAGTGATTCTCCTGCCTCAGCCTCCCGAGCAGCTGGGATTACAGTCGTGTGCCACCATGCCCGGCTAATTTTTATATTATTAGTAGAGATGGGGTTTCACCATATTGGCCAGGCTGGTCTTGAACTCCTGACCTCAGGTGATCCACCCGCCTCAGCCTCCCAAAGTACTAGGATTACAGGCATGAGGCACCACGCCCAGCCAACTCCAACTTTTAAGAAGCAAATAATTCCCATGACATAGAAATGTTTCCAGAACACAGAAACACATAGAATGCTTCTCAACTCATTCTGCATTGCCAGCACTGCCCCAATGCAAAGGACTGAGAACAGCTCCCAAATGAAAACTATATACGACCCAAATAAGGCATAAGCAAACCATATCCATCACATATTAAAAGAATAATAGAGGCCCGGCGTGGTGACTCACACCTATAATCCCAGCACTTTGGGAGGCTGAGGCGGGTGGATCACGAGGTCAGGAGATTGAGACCATCCTGGCTAATATGGTGAAACCCCGTCTCTACTAAAAATACAAAAAATTAGCTGGGCGTGGTGGCAGGCGCCTGTAGTCCCAGCTACTCGGGAGGCTGAGGCAGGAGAATGGCGTGAAACCGGGAGGCGGAGCTTGCAGTGAGCCAAGATTGCGCCACTGCACTCCAGCCTGAGTGACAGAGCAAGACTCCATCTCTAAAAAAATAAAAAATAAAAAATAAAAATAATAGATGGTGAATCAGTAAAGTTTTCCCAAGAGTATAAGAATGGTTCATTGTGAATAATTTTGTTAAAAGATTGAATTAAAATCTCATATGATCATGTTAATAGGTGCTGAAAAGTATTTAATATGATTCAACACAATTTTTAGGGTCTCACTGTGTTGCCCAGGCTGGAGTGCAAGGGTGTGATCATGGCTCACTGCCGCCTCTAACCCATGGGTTCAAGTGATCCTCCCATCTCAGCCTCCTGAGTAGCTGAGAATACAGGCACCAAGCCTGGCTAATTTTTTTTTTTTCTTTTTTCACTAGAGACAAGATCTAGCTATGTTGCTCAGGCTGGTCTCAAATTTCTGGCCTTAAATAATTCTCCTGCCTTGGCCTCCCAAAGTACTGGGACACAGGCATGAGCCACTGTGCCTAGCCTCAACATAAAATTCTAATTTAAAAAATCTTGACAAGCCAGGAATAGAAGAAAACATAACAAAATTGATGAAATTTTGGTTGGTCATGGTGGCTCATGCATGTAATTTCACCACTTTGGGAGGCCGAGGCAGTCAGATCGTTTAAGGCCAGAGGTTCAAGACCAGCCTGGCCAACACAGCAAAATCCCCTCTACTGAAAATACAAAAAACTAGCCCCACGTGGTGGTACGCGCCTGTGGTCCCAGCTGCTATAGAGGCTGAGGCACTAGAATCGCTTAAACCCGGGAGGCGGAGATTGCAGTGAGCTGAGATTGTGCCCCTGCACTCCAGCCTGGGTGACAGAGCCAGAGTCTGCTTCAGAAAAAAAAAAAAAAGATGAAATTTTTGTCAGAAATCTACATCAACTGCCTGACTTAATAGTAAAACAATAGAACAATCCCATACGAGGATGGAAACGAGGTTATGATGCTAATTTATATTTTGCTGAAAGGTTTAGCCGAGGAACTAAAAGAATACATATATAATGAGGTATTAAAATTGTTAAGAAATAATTCAAATTTAGCATAGACAATCTAAGCGTGTAAAATGATGAATTATTACACCCAGAAATTTCAGTAAGTTCGCCACACAAGATATCAACATTGGGATACTCAGTACCTTTCTTCTACCCCAATAATAATTTAGATTATGTAATGGAAAAAAGGATTGCTTATAATACATAAAATAAAGCTAAAGAGGTATAAGTCCTATTTGATATGTCATATTTATGAATAGGAAGGCTTATCATAAAGATGTTAAATCTCCCCAAACTGAGAACTACATTTATTGTAATGCAATCAAAGTCAGATAAGATTTTTTTTTTTTTTTTTTTTTTTTTTTTTTGAGATGGAGTTTCACTCTTTTGCCCAGGCTGGAGTGAAGTGGTGCAATCTCGGCTCACTGCAACCCCCACCCCCGGGTTCAAGAGATTATCCTGCCTCAGCCTCCCGAGTAGCTGGGATTACAGGTGTGCACCACCACACCGGCTAATATTTATATTTTTGTAGAGACAGGATTTCACCATGTTGGTCAGGCTGGTCTCAAACTCCTGGCCTCAGGTGATCCTCCCACCTTGGTATCCCAAAGTGCTGGGATTACAGGTGTGAGCCACTGCACTTGGCCTTATTTTTTACACTTATTTGTTTTAGAGACAAAGTCTAGCTCTGTCCCCCAGGCCAGAGTGCTGTAGCATCATCATGACTCACTGCAGCCTCCAAATCCTGGGCTCAAGTGATCCTCCCACCTCACCCTCCTGAGTAACTGAGACTATAGGCATGTGCCACCACGCCTGGCTAATTTTGAAAAATTTTGTAGAAAACAGTTATCGACTTGCTGCCCAGGCTGGTCTCAAAGTCCTGGGCTCAAGCCATCCTCCTCTCTCAGCCTCCCAAAGCATTGAAATTATAGGCACAAACTACTGTGCCTGGCCTCATTTTGTGTTTACCTGGTGCTAAATACCAATTGGATGCCCAAGAGTGAAATTCAGGTTGGATGAAGTCTGGGAGCTGAAGTAGAGGAGGCTGGCTGGCTTTCTGAGGCCTGTAGCAGAAGATGACACTTGGGTCTGCCTGCTTATGTTGACATGGGCCATCCTAACCTGACATGGTTTTGCAGCTGAATGTGACAGGCCCCGCCTGGGCTGGATCTGGAGAAGGACAGGGATAGCTAACCCTCTAGATCCACTAACATGACAAACAACTAGGCATCATCCTGTCTCCAGGCATCCCCATAACCCAGAGCATTGTCCCACAAACACACGGGACCTGCCCAGACACCCAGGCCCACAGAGGAGACAAACTCAGCATCACAACAGTTACAATTAAGGTGGACTAGGGCCTTTGTTATTTCCTTCTATTATTATTTCCTATAAACCACCTAATAAGATGGTTGTCTCTGTTGGGCATGAACTTGAAGCTGTAATCCCAGATGTGCAAGAAATAGAACTCTATTCTCCTGCATCTGCACTGGTTCGGGTGGGTTGGGCTGTGGAAACAGGCCAAGCATGTCATTTGTCGACACAGTAGCCTATGTTCTGCTTGACCACATGAGGCAGTTGGGGGAAGGGATACTGTTCCCAGAATGATTCAGGGACCCAGGCTAATGGGGTTTTGCCATGTCTATAACGTGTGGCCTTCTAAATCATCACATGGGTATCACTTGTCCCGTTGGCCAGGGGAGGAGGAGTTTAGAGGAGTGTCCCAGGAGACATTGAAAAGCCAGCTTTGTGGTACATGTCAGTTCTGCTCACATTCCACAGGACCAAAGCACATTTCATGGCTGCAGAGGGGAACCTCTGAGATGTGGCCAGGCAATGTTCCCAGGACAAAGAGGTGATGGACTCTGGGGGACAGTGAGCAGTCTCTTCCCCAGCAGCTCCATTGAATTTCTACTGAGAATCCCCATTCTCCATGGTGGTGGGAACTTAGTTCTGCTAAATATTGTGCTAAATATTAATCTGGTTCTGAACTTGGGTTTGTCCATGAAGCTTGGGCATCAGAAGCAGCCCCTGGGTATCTGTGGCCCACATTGTCAGTCTAGATCTCTGTTTTGATTCATGCAGGATGGCTCCCTGCTTATCCCTAGTTTTCTTCTATAGTTCTCTCTCCACCTGACACTTGGGATTCCTATGGAAGCCATCTTCTTCTCACTAGGCTGGGCCATGGGGTATCCTCCTTGGCTGTCTGAGGTCATTTCTTTGTAAATGTCTACACCATGTAGCATATCATCTTTGAGAACTTGGAGGCTTTCTAGGCCTTATCTGTGAGGAGGGAATACAGATAACAGCTGGGGTCTCTGACACCCCTCTTCCTCAGATGCAGGTTCCAGGAACCTTATGGATGTACTATTATCCAATCTCTCTCCACATTCCCTTTTCCATGAATGGTGAACAAATGCCTTTCTGGAGTGGGGGAGAGGTGGTCTTCATCAGCTATTCTGCCAAAGCTATTTGCATTTCTTGGGGACTTTCCATTCTTCCCCTAAGAGCTTGACATTTGGATGGCAGAAGCTGGAAGAGGTTTCTGTTTTCTTATTGCTGCTCTGAGACACTAGACATCTCCAATCCCAGCTCAAATGAGAAGACTCCTAGAGAATAAACGTCAATTCAGATTTCTAAATATCATCCACACATTGGCAATTATGCCTGCTTTACAGACAAAGGAACTATGCTCAAGAAAAGTATCTGTTCAGGGCTATACAGTTTTTCAGTGTCAGAGGTAAGTTTTTAACCCCCATCTGCCTGAATTCTATGTCTGTGGGCTTCCCCATTGGGACATTCTGATTTTCACAGTCTAGGAAACAGCTCCAGGGAAACAGAGACACTGGTCACTGACCCAGAAACAGAATAACAATCGTGGGCATGTTGACACACACACACACACACACACACACACACACACACACACACCCCCACAGGAAACCAGAACATTCTATTCCAGTTTTTTGGTTTAAAGATTCCTCTGAAAGAACAACCCAGTGTCAAGGAGTTAAAGGGATCTAGGGCATGAAGTGTGGACCCCTAGGGTGGATGAAGACAGCCCTGGAGCTGAGTGAGTTGAAGTAGCACAGGCAGGTGGTCTGGGTGTTCCTGGGTTCGTGGGTTTCTTGAATGTTGAGTTCCTTGGTTGGAGGATTTCTTGGCTAGATGTCTCAGCAGTTGAGTTTCTTGCTCGATGGCTGACTTGGCTGGCTAGTGTTTTGGTGAGTGGCTCGGTTGGGGAGCGGACCCTTGGGTTGCTATGCCTAGCCTTCATTAAAATAGGACTAAGCCATAAATGATGCCTAAGCCGATCATTACCGCAAATGCACTGAGCCAACCAGTTCGGCCTGAGTTGGTGTAAGCCTCTTCCCATTCGCTTTTCTTGTTGGCCTTCATAGTCTGTAGGGGTTGAAGCACAGATGTGGGTTTCTGTGTCTAGGAACCCTGGGGAGAACGGTTGGAGACCTGCAGTCACTGAGGGAAAGCCCCTGTGCAGGTCCCAGGACAGGAGCAGATGCAGGGGCCAAATGGAGGACGGGGCAGGCTGGGTGCAGTGGCTCACGCCTGTAATCTCAGCACTTTGGGAGGCCGAGGCGAGTGGATCACCTGAGGTCAGAAGTTCGAGACCAGCCTGGCCAACATGCAAAACCCGTCTCAACTAAAAATACAAAAATGAGCCAGGCGCTGTGGCCCGTGCCTGTAATCCCAGCTACTCGGGAGGCCGAGGAAGGAGAATCGCTGGAACTAGGGAGGCAGAGATTGCAGTGAGCCGAGATTGCACCACTGCTCTCCAGCCTGGGGGACAGAGTGAGACTGGGTCTCAAAGGAAAAAAAATAATAAAGGACAGGGGCTATGACTTGGGCATTATTTTACCTGGTAAGAGAAGTACAAAGCTGGCAATCCAAATGGAGGGAATAGAAGTACAGCAAAGATGGTCAAACATAGGTAGTTTGGGGCGTAAAACGCCAGTTCTTCTGGTGTCTGTGTAGGCTCTTGCGGCTCTTTGGGCACCTCACCTGGGGCACCTGGACCACCTGTGGTAGGGGAGCCATCTGGATCACCTGTGGTAGGGGGCTCATTGGGAGCAGAAGGTTTCAGGGCCATGACCTTTCCCCTTAGACAAAGATGGACTCCGAGTGTCTTGAAAACGGAGCGCCAGACCCACTAGGCTTCCCCTTGTACTAACCAGAATCCCAGGACCCAAACCATCAAAGGCTGAAACTTCACAATGGAGAAACCAGCACCCCACGTCCTGATTGGCTGCCTAGTTAGGAGGCAAGGCCCCACCATTCTAACCCACCCCAAGACTCAGAGCGTGCAGCCAATCAGGATGTGGGCTCCGCCCACTCTGATAGGGATTGGTTGGAAGCCTAAGTGGTGGCTCTTGGCTCCTCCTCCTCCCACTGATCTCTCTCTGCAGGCCGCGCGGATGGGCGGTGTCAGGAGGGTCTCCCAGGAGTTGCTGAAGAGAGAAACTAGACACGCCCAGTAAAAGTAAGAAATTTACTGAGGGGAGGAAAATGAGTAATGTCAGAAGTGGATTGTAAAGCTTTGAGTTAAAAATGAATTCCGGCTGGTCGCAGTGGCTCATGCCTGTAATCCCAACACTTCGGGAGGCCGAGACGGGCGGATTACCTGTGGTCAGGAGTTCGAGACCAGCCTGATCGAAGTGGCGAAACCCCGTCTCTACTAAAAATACAAAAATTAGCCGGGTGTGATGGCGGGTGCTTGTAATCCCAGCTACTAGGGAGGCTGAGGCAGGAGAATCGCTTGAACCCGGGAGGCAGAGATTGCAGTGAGCCGAGATCACACTGCACACTCCAGCCTGGGTGACAGAGTGAGACTCCATTTCAAAAAAAAAAAGAATTCCTTGGTTTATGCTGACAGAAAGACTAGAGAAAAAAGGGGAAAAGGGGAAAAGTCTTTCTTTTTTTTTGTTTTGAGACGGAGTCTCGCTCAGTCGCCCAGGCTGGAGTGCAGTGGCGCGATCTCGGCTCACTGCAAGCTCCGCCTCCCGGGTTCACGCCATTCTCCTGCCTCAGCCTCCCAAGTAGCTGGGACTACAGGCGCCCGCCACCACGCCCAGCTAATTTTTTGCATTTTTAGTAGAGACGGGGTTTCACCGTGTTAGCCAGGATGGTCTCGATCTCCTGACCTCGTGATCCGCCCACCTCAGTCTCCCAAAGTGCTGGGATTACATGCGTGAGCCACCGCGCCCGGCTGGGAAGGTCTTTCTTAAAGTAGCACACAACCTAGTGGAATGATGAAACAGGAAATCTCCAATGTGATAGGCAGAACTCTGAGATGACCCCAAGATTCTTGCTCCCTGGTGTACACACTCCTTCTCCAGTCAGTCAAGTACTAGTCTGTATACCGCTGGGAAGGTGTCTTGCAGACGTAGGTAGGGTCTGAAATCAGTTAACTTTAAGGTAGGAAGAATATCCTCTGTGGGCCTCACCTAATGAGGTGAGTTCTTGAAAGGGACTGAGTCTTCCTGGCAAAAGAGGTTTCAGGTATAAGAGGATTCGAGGCAAGCAAAGGTCTCCATTGCTGGTATGAAGATGTCGCCGGGGCCACCTAGGGAGGAATCCAGGCAGCCTCTGACTGAGAATGGCTCCCAGCTGACAGCCAGCAAGGAAACGGGGTCCTTAGCACTGCAACAGCAAAGATGCGAATCCTGCTGTAATCACATTCATTTGGAAGAGGATCCTGAGCGCCACATGAGAATCCAGCCCAGCGGACACCTTAATTTTAGCTTTGGTAGATCTGAGCAGAGAAGCAGTCATTCTGACTTACAGAACTGTGAGTGAATGACTGTGTGGGAATTTGTTATGCACCATTAGAAAACATTTTCAGGCCAGGCGCGGTGGCTCAAGCCTGTAATCCCAGCACTTTGGGAGGCCGAGGCCGGTGGAACACGAGGTCAGGAGATCGAGACTATCCTGGCTAACATAGTGAAACCCTGTCTCTACTAAAAATACAAAAAACTAGCAGGGCGTGGTGGCGGGCGCCTGTAGTCCCAACTACTTGGGAGGCTGAGGCGGGAGAATGGCGTGAACCCGGGAGGCGGAGCTTGCAGTGAGCCGAGATCAGGCCACTGCACTCCAGCCTGGGAGACACAGCGAGACTCTGTCTCAAAAAAAAAAAAAAAAAAAAAAAAAAGAAAACATTTTCAAATACCATGGTAATTGCTGATTCAGGTAGGAGCTTTTAATGAATGCTAATACTGTGGGGTTTTAGCTGATGCTTCCTTTAGCTGGTGGTTCTAGGGGAGTAGAGGGTTTGAGGAGTCACTTTTCAGGAAGTTGGGAGTGGATGGGAGATGACACTGTGCAGTCTACAAACATAGACCTCAGTATGGCTTGTCCAAGACACAACCTGTGTATGTAAGACCAGTCCTGGACCTAGAAATAGTTAGAAGAACAGTGACAACACATGCAATCCAGAAGTCAGGATATTCTTCATGGAGGAAATTGGTTCAGAGCCTTTCAAAGGACCAAGTGGATATTCCAGGACAACAGAACATGTGAAGGTTGGGTGAGATAAAGCATGTGTATTGGTTGCTAGCAAGTCCCTTGGATGGTGGAACAAACAAACTAAGACAGGCTTAGAAAGGAGCACATGGACAAATGTGTCAAGCCCTGAGACACGTACTCCAGCTCTGAAGGCGGGAATGAATTAGCTCCTTTGGTAAGGGCAGTGTCAGAGGATCAGCAGAAGCAGTGGCCATACTGCAGGGATCCAGGCAGTGAGCAAAAAGGGGGTCGTATAGACAATGTAGACATTTATTCCAAGAGCTTGGAGGCGAAAGAGTAAGGAGAGCAATGCCACAGCTGAGAAGAACATGGGTTCCAGTTTCTGGAATGTTGTAAGCCAACACCTGGTTTCAGAGAGCCATGGATTGAGTGTGAGGTGTGGAACTGGAGAGAGTGTACACATTTGCTTCACGAATTTTGCCTATGGCTGGGTACAGTGGCTCATGCCTGTAATCCCAGCACTTTGGGAGGCCAAGGTGGGTGGATCACGAGGTCAGGAGTTCAAGACAAGCCTGGCCAAGATGGTGAAACCCCGTCTTTACTAAAAATACAAAATTTCAGCCAGGTGTGGTGGTGGGCGCCTGTAATCCCAGCTACTTGGGAGGCTGAGGCAGAAAATTGCTTGAACCGGGAGGTGGAGGTTGCAGTGAGCCGAGATCGTGCTACTGTACTCCAGCCTGGGTGACAGAGTGAGACTCCATTTCCAAAAAAAAAAAAAAATAGTTTGCCTATGAAGAGCCAAGAAAGGCAGGACTAGGGTAGATGCAAAAGGGTGAGAATGATGATTTTGCTTGTTTGTTTTAAAGATAGGAGAGACTAGGCCGGGCGCGGTGGCTCAAGCCTGTAATCCCAGCACTTTGGGAGGCCGAGACGGGCGGATCACGAGGTCAGGAGATCGAGACCATCCTGGCTAACACGGTGAAACCCCATCTCTACTAAAAAATACAAAAAACTAGCCGGGCGAGGTGGCGGGCGCCTGTAGTCCCAGCTACTCGGGAGACTGAGGCAGGAGAATGGTGTGAACCCGGGAGGCGGAGCTTGCAGTGAGCTGAGATCCGGCCACTGCACTCCAGCCTGGGCGACAGAGCGAGACTCCGTCTCAAAAAAAAAAAAAAAAAAAAAAAGATAGGAGAGACTTGATCATATGGAACTGAGATGGAGACTGCCAAGATGGTAGCATGGGTCTATGTTCTGCCCCCTTTTTTGTCTCTGGAATTAAAAACCGAAAACCAGATTCATAACTTGAGGGGGCTGAGTGATCAAAGGATTTTGCTTTTTTGAAAAAAAATTTTTGGTGGGAAAGGTGAGACAGACCATGTCTCAATAAGAGAGAATGGAGATATGGGAGAAATATCTTTTTTTTTTTTTTTTTTTGAGATGGAGTTTTGCTCTTGTTGCCCAGGGTGGAGTGCAATGGTGCAATCTTGGCTCACTGAAACCTCCACCTCTCGGGTTCTAAACGATTTTCCTGCCTGAGCCTCCTGAGTAGCTGGGATTACAGGTGCCCACCACCACACCTGGCTTATTTTTATATTTTTAGTAGAGATGGGGTTTTACCACGTTGGCCAGGCTGGTGTTGAACTCCTGACCTCAAATGATCCACTCACCTTGGCCTCCCAAAGTGCAAGGATTACAGGAATGAGCCACTGCACCCAGCCAGGAGAGATGTCTTAATGGGGGTGAGGTTGTTCATTTGTACTGTCTACAGCTCCAACACCTAGAACAGAGCCCAACACATAGTAGTAGGTGCTCAGTAAACATGGGCTGAATAAACACACCTTCGAACTAGACTACCTAGGTTTGGATCCCCGCCATGCCACTAACTAGCAATATCACCTTGTGCAATCAAAAGCTCTCTGTGTACCAGTTTTCTCATCTTTAAAATGGAAATAATAATTATTTATCTCTCATTTCATTGTGAGGATTAAATAAATTAATGTATGTAAGTGGTTTTGAACAGTGTATGGCACAAAATGTGCACTCTGTAAGATGATGATGGCTGAGGGGAGAGGATCGTGTGAGACCAGGAGTTCAAAACCTAGCTCGATCAATACAGTGGGACCGTGTCTCTAGAAAAACACACACACACACACACACACACACACACACACATATATATATATATGGCATATATGGCTCTGAGGGCAGGCTTCTATATTCTCAGCTGCTTGGGAGGGTATGGTAGGAGGATTGCTTTTGCTTAGAAATTTGAGGCTGTGTTGAGCCATGGTCGCACCCCTCCACTCCAGCCTGGGCAACAGAGGGAGACCCTGTCTCAAGAAAAAAAAAAAAGATAATAATGATGAATGAGTGGGGTTCAGAGCATGTGAGAATCATTTGAAAATAATGGCCAGGAGTTCAAGATTGGCCTGGCCAACATGGTGAAACCTGTCTACTAAAATACAAAAATTAACTGGGCGTGGTGGTGGGTACCTGTAGCCCCAGCTACTTGGGAGGCTGAGGCAGGAGAATCACTTGAGTCCAGGAGGCAGATGTTGCAGTGAGCTGAGATCATGCCACTGCACTCCAGCCTGGGTGACAGAGTGAGTCTCCATCTCCAAAAACTAAAAATAATAATAAAAAGAGAGAGATCCAATTGTCCTAGCACCATTTGTTGGATCTCCTTTTCACATTGAATGTTTTTGCCACTTTTGTCAAAAATCAGTTGACCACAAATATAAAAGCTATTTCTG